GGCTTAGCCTGATGCATCTGCCTGGATGCTCCAATCAGCCAAGCGCCGATTCACAAGTGTGTGAATGTTGCACTGCCATCTTGCAGTGCTGCTTGTAGCACAAAAAAGCAGAACTTGGCCCAATATAGATCAGTGAAAGGTTGGTTTGTGGTTCTTATCCTAAAATAGTGCAGATATTTAACTAGCTTCTCATGACAAGGATAGAGACACCTGAGGTACATGGGTTTTTCACAGGAGGCAGCCTTACTAAATAAGGTTGTATGGTATGATGGCTATTTTTTGCTTATGATGTGGATGCATCCTCTGCATTGTTTTGGAGAGTCTGAAAAGGCAGCAGTTGTTCTAGGTTTTTAATTTGAAAAAGAAAGAAGGAAAAAAAAGGTTGAGAGCCTTGTGTGACTTAACTCAGTGCTTAGCTTCCAGCTTCATCTCTAGTATTGACTGTGTGTCCTCTGCTTTGATCAGCTGTCCTTAACCTCTGAAATAGTGAGTGGGCACACGGCATTTTTATTGGAACAAGCAGAGACATAACACTGTAAGAGCTATTTCATTTTTCTAATTATAATGGTAGGCAAGAGGAAGTCCATATTTAGTGTAATTAGTGGTTAATCATTCTTTCAGAATGAGGAAATTATGCTTTACAGCCTTTAAAAGTCTTCTTCTTGAACTACATTAAAAGCAATCATACTTAAAAAATTATGATGACGTAAATGCTGCATGTTTCACTGACTATTGAATTTAATAATTGAATACACTTTGAACCACTTAGTAAGTACCCAAATTACTGGCAATCAAGAGCAGCAAGAGCCCTTACATTAATTTGCTTCTTAATTTAATCAGTGATGTAAAAGGTAAAATATCTGCTGAATATGTCAACTAAAACCTGTGAGATAACTGAACATAAGTATTTAATGGGGTAGAAACAGCAAAGTAAAATAAAGGATTTCTGGGGCTTCAACTTACAACTTGATTTCTTCTCCTGTTTCAGCAGTGTAATACTATGGCATCTATACACTGGGTGACAGTGACTTCATTTAAATTCATTAGGGTATATTTCCCATGTTTTGTGTTCACTAAAAGTATAAGAAAGATTAACTAATGAAGAAGACTCATAAATAACATCTATTTACTTATTGGAGAGAAGACATGTTGTGGAACATCAGCTCAAAGAGAAGAATCCCAGAGACTGCAAAGCCATCAGTTTAATACTGCCACTTTGGTAACAGTGAAGAAAACAGGAAGCTTAAATGGATATTGGAAATTGTAGGGACTCCCAGCGTGTGATAATGCAAGTAAATTGAGGAAAGGTCAGACAGAAGCTTTATGATTGAGGTGAGAGCACATTTGGACAGCATCTCTGCTCATCTGTTCTCTTGACAAATGTTTCTACAGTACAAAAAATGCACAGTTTCTGCAACTCACAGTAAAATTCTGCGTACATGTGACAATAAATCAACCTACTGACATAAACAGATACAGTAAAACTACAGCTTTGACTAAGGAAAAGGATGTGAGTCGGGGCTTCCCCACCACCAGCGCTCAGCTGCTCAGTGGGAACATTTGGCACTGATGGGGTGCAGATCAGAAGCACCCCATCAAAACACCTCTGGCTGTGCAGCAGTGAGTTGACATGCTTCCTATTGTTAAAATAAAAAAAAATTCTATTGTTCAAAAATATGGGAAAGATGGAAATAAGAAGGGAAGTAAAATAAGCAAGTAAAAGAACAGCTGTATGCTATAGAGATGGCATTTTTACATCTTCAGAAAAACATTTTTCATCATGGTGTAGTACTTGCAAAATACCATTTTCCTGAGTGCTGCTGGCAATTTGTTTGAGATGAGGCAGGCCCCAGCAATGCAACAGAGCAGCAGAGCAGAAGATGTGGGACTTTGACAAGCTGGTGTTGCAAATTAGCATGGGGTCCTCACAATTAAAGTTTGAAATTCATAGCTCTCTGTTTTATTTCACTAGAAAAGGAAACTGTGCTTGGATTTTTGCCAAGACAAACAAACAAAATACTTCTTTTCTGTGGAACGTGGACTTTGGTGTTGAGTAGTAGGAAGTGTATTATTTCCAATTACTTTGTACTGCAATTGTAAAAATCAAAGAAATGTGTAAACCACTTCTGCATGTTCTACCTGCAGATGCACCACAGACACTCAGCAGAAAGCTGTGAATGGAGCAGTAGGATAGCACAAAATCAGAGACAGAAATGCCCAAGATTTTATTGAATAGCTTTGCTGAATAAGCTATGGGTACTTTTTTGGTGGCTTCAGATGGAGGCACTGGGGGCTCCTCAGGTGGAGGATGTGGGGCTTTTTCAGTCAAACAGCACGGGGTCTCCAGCCCCATATTTTTATGAAAATTGGTGTGTAGAAACCAGTAGGAAGGTAAAAAGAGGATGTCTAGATCCAGGTGCTCACCCAGGAGCACTTGCAAGAGAGATGTTGGCTGCAGGCTCCTTTTCCAGTACCTATGCAGCTGGTTAGGATAGAAGTTCCCCACTAAAAGCAACACTGACCCCAAAACATTGAGCTTGGGCTCAGATCACTCTCAGCTCATGTGTGAACTTCATATGAACTTCTTGCATCATGGTGGCATGGAGGAGGTAGGATCCCTCTTACGGCCCTTTGGAAGCCTGCTGGGAACACTAAGATTGTCTTCTGGGAACCATTACACAAAGCCACGCATATCTGAAGACATTAAGCACTCTGGGGTGAGCATGGGCAATGAATGCAAAGTTCCAGGCTTTACTGTGAGGATGGGAGGATTATCAGGACTGTAAGGTCTGCCTAGCAAGGAAAACAACTTTCTATGGTAGACTTTCACTAATAAAGTTTCTGTGTATCTTTCCCTAGGCAAGAAAGAGGTAAAAAAAGAGATGGGGCTCTGAACAACCTGGTGTAGCTGTAGATGTCCCTGTTTGTTGTAGGGGAGTTGGATTAAATGATCTTCAAGGATGTTTTGCAATTCAAACTATTCTATGATTATTCTATGGTACTATTTTATTATTTGAATTACAGCTATTTGCAATCTAAATCACCAGGCCAAATAATGATCTAACTCTCAGTATACTACAGGATCAAGGTAAAGGACAAATCATTACCGAGGATCTGATAATTCTGTTCCAATTGACCATCTTAGGCAATTAGTGAATCTTTTCAGATCAACTAGTTTGAAAACAAAACTGTACTTTCTAAAATGTGCATTTCGCAATGTGTTTTTGTTCTGATAGGAGCTTGAGTCCAGTTGTGCTTCTTATACCGTACTTTATCAAAGCCCAAGTCTCTGCAGCTCAGAGAGAAAAATACCGCAGTTTCCCTCACTGACTGAAATAAAATGGTCTATGATGCACGAACAAGTCTAAATGAAATAATAATATCCTTAGCAGTGAAAAATGGATTGGTAGTACAGTAATTGAGTAGATTTATTGCCATCTCCTTGAGCTAGCCTGCTGAAACAGCCTGCTATTTTATTTAGTCTCAGAGGAATTACTGGCTGGTAATCCATTGTTAAACATCATGCAGAATGATGGATTTTCCAACATCACCAATTCGTACCTCATTAGCGCATGTTATTTATGATTTTTGTTGCAAGATCTACAGCGGAGAAATGGAGACATCAGCTATTGTTGAGATGAGATGAGATATACTGTAGTTTATGAGTCAATAACTACATACAATAATATTTCCCCACAGGATCAATTACAAATAGATTTCCCTTTCTGTGTATGACAGCACTTTTTTCTATGTGTTTTGCTGCTAATAATTCAGTGAAGAAAAATATTAAAAAGCACAAAAGAGATTATCGTAAAAATTACTTCTAGGATATTAAGGCAGGAGAAAGAGAAAAGCCTTTGTGTACGGCTTCACTGCAATTCACTGGACACTTGGGACACTTTTTCTCCCCATGTCCCTATGAACACAAACAGACATATTTCTCCAGCTGTGGCACAGTTGCATTTTAAGGATACTTTTTGTTGACTCATGGCCTCAGTGCAGCAGTAATTACAGTCACAGTGACAACTGCTGCCTCAGTTAAACAGTTGAAAGTCATTTTATGTTCAACTCATAAATATCAATGATGGAAAAAGAGTAATAAGAGGCTATCTAGAGTACAAGGGATCAGCTCATATTTCAGATGAAAATGAAGATGAAATGCGAGTTTTATTTGCTTGTGGAATTCCCATTAAGTGCATCTCTGATGGGAGGGAGGTGGATCAATAGCTGGCTGGCTGCAGAAAGCAGTTTCTGGCTGTTTAACAGCCAATGCAACAGGAAAAGTGCCATGTGGGGATCACAGAATCATAGAGGTTGGAAAGGACTCCTGAAGATCATGTAGTCCAACCCCCTGCTACAGCAGGTTCCCTACAGCAGGTTGCACAAGAAAGAGTCCAGATGGGTCTTGAGTATTTCCCTCAAGGTTAATAAGTTTTTCCATGTTCGTTTCCATTCCAGGTTCATATGGAATGCCCTGTGCTCCAGTTTGTTCCCATTGCCCTTTGGTCTGTCACTGGGCACTGCTGGAAAGAGCCTGGCCCCATCCACATGACTCCCTCCCTTTCAATGTTTATAAGCACTGGTAAGATCTCCTCTCAGTCTGCAGGCTACACAGACCCAGCTTTCTCAGCCAGTCTTCAATAGGAAATCTTTATTCTATCAGACCAACAGTGTGCAAGTATTCTGCTTGGGACACTTCTAATCCCCGCTTCTATATGTGGTCTTAGCACAGAATGTCCATAAAGTTATAGTTTAAAGCCAAGACAAACCTTCAACATTCCTCTTTTTTATTATAGGTGGGAACCTTCCCTCAGTACTCCTTAATTACTTTTTGTCTATGATCTTCGTATCATAGCGTGGAAAATAGCATACCTGTTTTGTTTCATGTACAGGTGAACATATCTGGTAATGAACTTTGCTTAATGACTTCTCACCTGGAGAGCACTAGAGATCACTCAAAGGAGCGTATGAAGCAACTGCAAATAGTGTTAAACAAAATGCAGGAGGAGTCTGAGTCCACCACGGTTATATTTGGGGGGGATACAAACCTCAGAGACAGCGAGGTAAATAGCAATAAGCAACCTGATTATTTTGGGAAGGTATTCTGGTAAAATCTTGCCAGACTTCTCTATGATCTTCATGAGAAACAAACTGCACACCAGAAATCTGCAACTTCTTAGTCATACCTCACCTTTTTAAGGTGGCATTGCTATACTGAGGCTTTGTTACAGCTGAGACGCTGTTATTTACACAAAAGGAATGGTTTTTTTTTTTCCCCCATAACACAAAATGCATAATTCTCAAAATGCATTTCTGAGATGTTTCAGCTTTCAAAGTATCTTCTGATTTTGAGGACTTGATCTTTTTATTAATTCAGCTCTCTGATTCTTGGGACTTAAAGCTAAAAAAAATGAACAAAAGAAGAAGGTGCTCTGGAGAAATAGATCTTGGGAGTTTAAAGACCAACTCCATCGTGGAGACATTCAACATTTTTGGCTGCTCATGTTAAAAGTGAAATTTCTGCATTATTAGTAAAAATTCTTGTTTTCCCTACTAGTGGAATTCCTGCCATGAGCAGGAATGACGTTATTACAGAAAACATGGCCTTGCCCCTCAGGCCTGATTTGGTAATTGAACTCTCTGCTTTGTAGCATTGAAGGCTAATGGCACACTGGCTTGTATCAGGAATGGTGTGGCGAGCAGGACTAGGGAAGTCATCCTGCCCTTCCACTCGGCACTGGTGAGGCCTCACCTCAAGTACTGTGTTCAGTTTTGGGCACCTCAGTACAGAAAGGACATTGAGGTGCTGGAGCAGGTCCATAGAAAGTCAACAAGGCTGGTGAAGGGCTTGGACAATGAGCCCTATGAGGAGAGACTGAAGGAACTGGGGCTGTTCAGTCTGGGGAAAAGGAGGCTGAGGGAAGCCTTATCGCTGTCTTCCAATAACTGAAAAGTGCTTACAGCAAGAGCGGGGTTGATCTCTTCTCGCTGGTGACAGGTGACAGGACAAGGGGAATTTTTCTATCAGAAGAAACTCCTATACTGGAAGAGTTTTTCAGCACTGAAATAGGCTCCCCGTGGAGGTGGTTGAGTCACCATCCCTGGATGTGTTTAAGAGCCATTTGGTTGCGGTGCTCAGGGACGTGATTTTGCTGAGGATTGTTAGAATTAGGGTAGCATGGTTGGGTTGTGGTCAGACTTATGACCTTGAAGGCCTTCTCCAACCTGAGCAATTCTGTGATTCTATGATTGTACACTTTGGATTTAGAAAAGTATGACAAAAATTGGTCCCGCAGTAGAGTCTACTGAGAAATAACCCAAGTTAGAAATTCCTCCAATAGCTTTGTTCTTCACGACTCATGATGTGGGGAAAGGAAGTGATATTTTGACAGCTCAGTTCTGTTTTCTCTCTTCAGGTGGCTAAAGTAGGTGGCTTACCTAAAAACGTCACGGATATCTGGGAGTTCCTGGGCAAACCCCAGCACTGCCGCTACACGTGGGACACAAGCTCCAATACCAACCTGCGCCTAGAGAGTAAATGCAAGCTGCGCTTTGATCGCCTTTACTTTCGGCCTGCAGCAGAGGGGGGACATATCATTCCACAAAATATGGACTTGATTGGGTTAGAAAAACTGGACTGTGGCAGATTCCCAAGTGATCACTGGGGTCTTCTGTGTCGCTTTGATGTGATATTATAATGAACAGGGCTTGTGGTGTTTGGTTTTAAGGGTTCTGTTTTTAAGAAAGTTTACACTCCCAGTTTAAGCTGACAGTTGACAGTTCCAACCATAGCAAATCCTCTGCTTTGGGCTCCTGCCCCTTTTTCCTCACTGTACGTTGAATCTGCTGTTGAATCATGACTTTAAATATATATTTTTAACAAAAGCAAATTTCAGTTCTAAAACAGGAGGTAAGAATGAATAAAATCTGTAAATATACTAGGTGATTTTAAAGATGCTTTTGTTTTGTCCTGTGTTATCATTCTGATAAGCTTGTAGAAACCGAATACTCTTACAAAAGCAGCTCAGGATTTAGTTGACTTTGGAAAAGATAAGCATGCTTTCTTACTCAGCCTTGTGAAAGCTATCATTTTATAGCTGTACAAAGTACCAAATGGTGTCATCAAAAAGAAATTCTTGCTTCTAAATTTCAAGTGCGAAGTTCAGTGCACAGATGTGGAGAGGTAGCACAGACAGCCCGTGTCGGTGGTGCAAAGTGCACTGAACATACACACTGAACTAGTGCACTGTGTTCTTACTTACAGGAACGGACAAACTAATGTTGGGCCTTAAGCCAAAAGCTGAAAAATGCCTTGTGTTTCCCTGGGAATGTGTGGCAGGTTAGCCCCAGCTGGCCCCAATAGCAAACAAATAGGAAAGCTCATGGTTTGAGGGAATACGCAGGGAAGTCACTTACCAACACCAACTGCTCTTATGGGCAAAACAGGCTTGACTTCCAGAAATTAACTTAAATTCATTACTGATTAACATATATCCTTAATTACTAATTCACAAAGAAGGATAACGAATACCTTTCCTCCCCATTTCTCAGGCTCCATATCACTCCAGGCATTTTTGAGGAGTTGTTTGTGTACTGATTGACTTCAGACTGCAAGATGGGTTATCTCTCTCGCTAACATGATTGGAGGGAGTTTTCTCTGTCCTTCTGTAACCTGCTGTGAATAATACTGAAGGGCAAAACCAGTACGGATAAAGTACTGGGGGCAGCATGACTGGAGAGATGCAGGATATCAACAAAAGGGCCCCTCAGACCCATGTTAAACCAGCAGAAGTGAGCAATCCAGCAGCGAGCAGAGCCAGAATTGTATCTTGTGATATGAAGTGGCTTAGCCTGATGCATCTGCCTGGATGCTCCAATCAGCCAAGCGCC